ATCTTTGATTTTTCTGGCATTCTTTTTGATCTATTTGTGTCGGGTAGTGGTTCTACCATGTATGCCATTGTTAATATGCTTTTTACAGCTGTGAACTGTAAAGGATTTCAATACCTTAAAATCAAATTTCTCAAAATTAGAGATATTTTTTATATTCGAACTTAATTTGGCTTTTTTTTTAAATCTGGGTGATATGAGCATGATAAAAGGTTTTAGAAAAATATATTGCACATTGAAAGAGGCTACAAAGGAAAATAGACATTAGCAATTCTGTTCATCGATTTTCTATTGTTTGTTTTTCGATTTATTAAGAAATTCCTATTAAAGCAACGAATAGAAAAAAAAAACTACAAAATAACTTGATTTTATCATCATAATGAGATAGATTTAACAGAAATTGTGTTTACGATTTATGGTGAACATCATCTGACATTTCGACAGGGACCACAAACTGTTAGTGTGAAATCTCGCCAGTCCATGTAAACGGTGCTGTGTAACCGGGACTATGTGTGTGAAGCCGTTCTTAAAATGCACACGATAGTAAATACATCGTACATTTTGGAAAACAAGTCTACTTTTATTTGCAACAAAATGTTATAGCACGATATATTTACACCTTTATGTGCAGGCGCATCGCACTCACAGAGTGTGACGTCACTTGCGAAGCAGAATTTGTAACTGACGTAGACATTATTTATTGTAAATATAAATTAATAATACGAGTTTAAATTCATGTGTAATCTATAACAATGTTATTTGTGTTTACTTAAAGTAATGAATAGAAAGTTATTGTTGACTTTAAATTAAAGATTATTTTTATATGATTTTACAATAATATTTTGCTCAAAATTATAAAATAATATGAAAATCAATCAAAAATAAAAACTAAATTAGTTTATTTTCTAACATAAGTATATTTTGCTAGTTTTCTATCTGCTTTTGTTTAGTAACTGTTTTATTGTATTTCCATTCAAATTTAAAGTTAAACCTGCGTTCGATTTTAAATGACGACTATTTTTTTGGTGGATACTGCAGAAGTCTTTCTTTTAGTGGTATTTCGAAATAATTCGATTCAAAATGCGTGAAACAAAAATGCAGGCTGTAAGTTAAAAAATGTTATGTACAGTAAACGAATAAAACAGGTACCTAGTTAGTACAGCAAACGAGTAAAATGTTGAAACTTACCATTTTTTAAATTTATGTAGTCTTGACGTCGACAAGCCACAATCCACCTTTGTGTTAAGTCTTCTTTGTTGGTGAATGTGCAGACTACTGCACATTCCGGCATTTTAAAATGCCCGATTCAAAATATTATCAATAAAATATTAAAGATATAAAATACTCCATATACTTTATAAACCATACATATACACGTAAAGCTATCAATATGATATCAGACAAATATCACACCACAATCTATGTAAACAGAACGTAGATAAAAGCGAGTTGCTTCGCACGTGACGTCATGCGCCAAACTTACCAGTTTTAATGGGCTAGCGAGCATACTGGTAAACATTTGTGTATGTATACATATATAAATTTTGAGCATACAATATTTTTTTAAAATATAACTAAAGCTACAGTCACTAGTTTGACGCGTGTTTAATTTTAATTATTTAAAATTATCTTATCTAATCAATTACTTTATTATAAACGAACAAACAGCAACTCACAAATATGTTTTATAACTTTTGCCTTATGCTCTACTATTTCATAATTAAGATACTGTTCTAGTGTTTTAGATACTTATGTTTCAAATTTTCTACAAGCAAGAAACAATATTCTTAAATGATGGATAAAACCCGTGTGCAACTTTCTTTATCTATCATAACCTAAAAATTGGTAGTGCGCTCGATTGTTCGCAATTTTCCGGGAAACATTTAATTGCCGATAAAATTTCTCAAGAAACTTGATCTTTTATTGCGAACATGAAAACTTAACTTGCTTCTGAACTGTAACAAAGGTGTGTAATACGAAGCAACTGACTCAATTGAAACTTTTGAATTTTATAATTGGAAACTATTAGAAAGTTTTAGAAATAATAAAAATCTGAGAAAAGTTAAATAATTCGAAACGCCTTCTTTAAAGTTTTCTGCTAGTATGATTTTATTGAAAAAATAGTAGTTATAGAAAATGTTTGAAAATTAAAAGAAAAGACGGAAATTTTAATTAAAATGGTATCGTCTTTTTAATATATTAAAACAGTATTAATCTATCGCTTAGAGAAAAAAATAAAACACACATTCCATACAAAAATCTGTCCTCTTTTTTTTTGATATTCCTATTTTTCAAAACAAAAATTTAAATTAGGGATATACGGCTTAAACCATGAAAGTCTTTCTGATATTATTATAAGAAAACTTAAATTTCCACTAGGAGACTAATGCCTGGTTGCACCAATAGATCTTAAGCTCCAGCTTAGCCAAGCTCTGCTTATAGCTAGGGCTGCCTTAACTCTCACTTACGTTGCACCATAATTTTTTATTCTAAAATACCTATTCTTTATATTGGTAAAAATAAAAATACAAAATTGGGTTGATCGCCGTCGGACGGTTTGGTCGTGGTCGGTCGATCAGTCTGAGCTGAGGCCTACCTAGGGCACGTCTTAAGTATATGTTGGTGCAACCAGGCATAAGTTCCTGTAGCTGGCTGTATACCATATATCACAAAAAATTTATTTCAAATCCTTTATAAAAGGTATATAATAAAATGCCCAAACGGGCTATCACAAATATATTACAAAACGTTTTCGGATTGTTAAATCCATCATCAGTGTAAACGAGGTATATATGCTATGAGCCACCAAAATATATGGGTTATAATCCTTTAAATGATATAAATTTACAGTTGTTTTACATTATATGTGGTTACAAATTATGATGTTTAAGTTACCGTTGGAATTGGTAACATGGCGACGTATGACCTCACATAGGTAAAATGGTCCTGAGACGAAGTGTCTTCGAGGACCTGTTGATAACAACGAGTTGCAGAGCAGATATTGCACGCGCAACGACGATATGTAAAATCAATGAAAGTCCAGGCTTTTCATTGAACTGTAAACATTATCACTACCATTAGTGATCATCATCCCTGACATTGTTGGAATGAGATAAACTATCATAACAGTCCTTGGCTGATTGAAAATAAAATATTTTCAAAGCCTGAATATCTTCAGCTCAGGAATAGGCAGTTTGTCTGTGTAAGCCTACTGTGTTAGTGAAAATGCATTATTGTTTTTTTTTTCGTCAACCGCTGTTGAGGACTGTTAATTGTGCTTAAATAACCATGAGCCACTGTAACATCAATTTTCAACTGTCTTAAAGGTCTGCTTGCAAAGGGACAATTTTTTTGTAAAAAGGAATCAGAAATCAGTCCAAGATTTAAAATTATTTGTAGTACATTCCTTGACATTGAACGGTTTGGGTTTCTTTCTAGACTCTCTAATGTGCTGTGGCCACTCACTAGATAACTCAATCCCTGTTTTTTGATTAACGAAAACCATATTGCGGTCATACTCTAAATAAGAGTGGCCACGGATAGGAAATACAACAATAATTTCTGTAAAGAGATGGCAGGGATGGACCCTATAGTGAAGAAATCTAAAAACTGTATAATTTTTATTCTGACCCCGACATGAGTCACAGAATATGGTCAACTTTTGTACTTAAGAATTCAGTTAATTGTATATTAAGTTAAATAAATATGAAACCACAGCATCGGCACTACAAATGAACTACTACATGACTACAAATGAACATTAATAAACCCAAGTGCACGATTATTTCTAAGCAACATACAGTAGGAAGGCTAGATATCGAGGAAAAACAAGTAGAAAGAGTGAATAACTATAAATATCTGGGAACCTGGGTAAATAAAAATAATTACCAAGGTAGGAAAATAACGACACGCATTGAAATTGCAAGACAAGCATTTATAAAAATGAAAACAATGTTTGTTAATCGAAACCTTCTTTTGGAGCTAAGGATAAAAGCTTTAAAATGCTAGGTGTTCTTGACTTTGTTGTATGGAATGGAAAGCTGAACACTAAAAGTGAATAATATAAATAAGTTGGAATCATTTGAGATGTGGTGCTATAGAAGGATTTTGAAAATACCATGGACCTAACGAGTTACAAATGCAGAAGTGTTAAGAAGGCTACAAAAGGATTGTGAGGTCATAAAGCACATCAATAAAGCTGGAATATTTAGGCCATATTACCAGAGGTGCGAAATATGAGATATTTAGGCTGATACGTGTTGCCCTGACACGTGTTTCTGGGTCTATCCTTCATCGACTGGTAAGAGACTCAAATTAAATCGAAACGCAACCTTCTTCGTATATTTATCGTCCTTACTCGACGCAATGAGTACAAGAATGATGATGATTTATATGGGTAAATTGTTGGTGCATAGTGGAATAAATTTATTCCCAGCACCGCTCTGAATGACTTGATTAAGCTTGGGTATACAGTTTGCTTTAATTGCTATCGACGTATCTTCATCTTTCTTCACTAGAAGTCTCTAGTTACAGTCTCTGGCAGTTATTCTCATGTAATTGCCAGAGTAATCGGGGCATTTTGATTTGGTTTGAGTCTCCTTACAAACTCCTTCTGATGACGGATAGACCCAGAAACACGTGTCAGGGAGTGGTAAGGGCCTCAAATTAAATCTAAACGCAACTTTCTTCGTATAAAAATATTATTCTTTTAGGAATACGGTTTATTATATTATGATGTTAATAATTTTATTTTTATATGATTTTAATTATATAATTGATTAACCCGATGGTTAATGTCAGTTGTTGTCAACCGATTCTTGTGAATAAAGATATTTCTATTTAATTCTATGATTAATAACTACGAGAATCTTACCGCAAAAATCGTTTTATATATTCAATCCGATTTATTTTATAAAAATAAAATCAAATAAATGTTTTTTTAAAAAAGAGAACATTAAAAGGCTAAAACGATTTCAGTGGTTAAATGGAATAAAATCAAAACAAAATGCAAACTTTCTTTATTAAATACTAAACTTTAACATTATAAACATTATACTGTAAAGAACCATCCAGCGAAAAGATTTATACAAGAACAACATTTGGAAGTACATTTACATTACAAAAAGTTCGGAAACTTCCTAATGACTTAAGGACACTGGAAAGAAATATTATTTATGCTTTCATTTTCTGCGTCTCTCCTTTTCTAATGATACGAACTAGTCAGAATTAATGGTTCGCTTAACGCTTCGCATCCACAGAAATTCTTCAACTAACTTCATAATTAATTTTCTTCTTTGAACTGCTTGTGGCTCTTTGCTATAGCAGTAATTGAATCTGCAAACAAAATATTAAAGGTGTCGTTTGGTAGACTTCAATTATAACAAGATTAAAGGACTCACTTGCCCTCTGTCTTTGTTTATGTAAATTTAATGAGCTGGAAATAAAACGAAAAGTAGCTATTTATATCACAAGTTACAAAAGGGTTCATTAAAAAAATTTAGAGCCTTCAACCCTTATACTAATGACAATATATATTATTTAATAAGGCTCCTTTTAAATGGCTGGTCACTGCAATATAAAGAATTTAAAAAATATATGAACTAACACAAAGTAATTTTTAGAAACAATTATTTTATTTCTTGAAATAAAAATTTAAAAAAATCGTGTATTCTGAAATATGTTTTAAATACTTCTTGTTGTAGATGGTGTTTTTGTAACAAACAAGAAACTTATTTATATGAGGAATATATTAAAACTCATAAACAAGGATATCAAAAGTTAAACCTTAGTTTGCTTTGGTCTGTTGTTTTTTAAATATTTTCAAAATTTCTAAAAAATACTTCCAAAAAACACTGCACAACATTTACTATTAGTCCAAGTTGTAGAGCCAAAAATGAATAATTTTTTCGGTGCTTCTACATATAAAATAGTTGGTCGTACGCCATTATTATATGATAGGCACATTTGATATTTTAATTATTATATTTAAATATATTTGTTGGAGAACTATAATCTCCAAACAAATAAATATATATCAAAACAAATAATTGTATTTCGTAACAAATAAATATTTTCGCGCCAGTTACCTAAATAAATCCAGTCTGCATGGACTTGTTTCTGTGAATGTTAGTCTCCGCCCATGGCGCCTACTTGACCCTAGACCGGCTATTCAAAATGCATAAACAAAATATTTCGGAGGAGCTAGGGGTCGACACCAACAGTGAATTAGCGACTTTCGTAGGGCTCACACCTATCTTTCAAGTTCTAAGAGGTTTTCTCCACGTTGCAAGTTACGCAATAAGTCGGGAAGCCGTAAAATGTGAATAGTGTTGTGGTGATTTCGGGAAAGTTTGTAATTTTCAAATTAGGTTCCTACGATAAGTTATACACTCAAAGATTATAAGTTCTATTTCTTGCCCTTTTTTCAATTACAGTTTCTCTCTAAACAAGAAATTGTTTTATTTCACTCTATATCAATTCAACAGGCCAGATCAAAACACCTTTAAAGGTCCATTTAAGTTTCTTTACTGAGCTGTCGAAGGCTAGCGGACTAATTGGACTTACAGCAAGTACAAAACCGCTGAAAGAGACACTGTTGGCATACAAGACTCTCTATGAAAGGGATGTTGAAAACCGGCATCCCTCCAATATTAATATAACTAATAAAGTATTATTTTGGTTGGATAGCACCTGTAGAGTATAAAATACGGAGTAATATTTTCAGCGATACGCGAATAAGAAATTTTATTAAAAAAAACGTGACAACCTTTGAAGGTGCTTAGAATGTGACCTATTCAAATAATGTTGGCTTAACAATTATGTAAATAACTGTCTCCATCTGTGTTTATAGGTCCATAGACAAAAGGTAATTTCTCTTGTATCCTTCCGGCATATACGTAATTTATACATTTTTTAACATAATTTTTACAAGCACATTCCAACATTTACAAGTTCCAACATTCAATTCAGCAAGAGATGGTTTTGAATTGATCTCATCTTCATAAGATCAAAATGTATCGTCTGTGAGGGTGTCGTTAATCAGAGGTTCTACATAATCAACATCATGGTTTATTGGTGCAATTTCAGTCAAGACTTTATTTGGATCGAAAGGAACCATGCCACAATGGTTGAACCATTGTGCTCAGTTTTTGCAATTGTTTGATCCATCAGCTTTAAGCTTTTTTTAATAAGGATGGAAATTAATCTTTAGATACACCAGTAGTGTTTGGGTGTCGGAATTTAAATTCCGTCAAAATCTTTTGCCAAGAAACTTCCATGGGTGTAAAAAAGTATACATCCAAAGGCTGTCATATGTGTGTTTAATTTCTGGGAAGACACGCAAATTCAATATTGTGCAATTTACACAATTGTAATACATGATCTGAAAAGTGAAATGCCAAGTTGTCACTGTAAAACAAGTTAGCTCCATTCACTCATTTTTTGTTTGGTTACATCTAGCTATATCTAGCTCTTCTAGCTATATTGTTTGGTTACATCTAGCTCTTCTTGTGCAACATCTACTACGACAACAAGGAGAGCCCTGTGGACCCTTTAATGTCCACGCATTCCGCATGTGTTCGCTACGATATATTATATAAGGAGGGAGTAGTGTGCCATCAGCAGCACCGCACATCATTATTGATGTGGCGGCTTTACTATGTTTAGTGACTGTGTATTTGGTTCCCCTTTTATACAGCAATCTTCTTTTCCCCGGATCATCACTAACGTTGGTTTCATCGTAATTGAAAACGTTCGATGAAAGGCAATTTAAGAGAGTTGTTCTAAAATTATTGGAATATGATTCTATATATGATTTGCTGACTATGCCTCTCTGAAAAATGGGTTACCCAGTCGTTACCAGGATTTACCCCGTTTTTAAATTTAGAAATAAGTCTTTCAGTTCTTTTTAAGTAACTCTTAGTGAAAAGTTGTACATCTAACGTCAATAATAAAAATTCCCAATCGGCACATTTGACAATGCAGGTCACGATTGATTTGTTCTCCAGTGCCGAAAATGCAGTTTGGTCCCCTGGTTTCTTCTTATTCTTTCCTTTGTATTTATTATATAAATTACCATAAGGAATTTTAAATCTTTCTAAAGCGGCTCTAATAGACAAGTTTTTGTTTACTATTTGAAGCAGAGCGTGTTCAAGAGTTTCACCAGAGAAGTTCTTGTAGCTCTTGATCCCAACTTTCGTTTATAAACTCGCCGCATTTTGGCTTTTCATATAGATAATGATAAAAACCTGAAATTAATTAACGGTTTGAAGTTTTATTAAGAAAATTATAAAAAGAAATACAATATCAAAGTCACCCCGAAAAATGTATCAAAGTGACTCCGGAGAAGAAATCATGTAATTTCACAAAGTAGTCACGGAAATAACTTGGTGAAATATTTTATAATATTGACAGTTAAACATAAATTTAGGTAACATATACAAAATTACCTGACATTTTTTGGTGAGAGCTGCATGTTTAAATTTAGTTACACAATCTAAAATCTTCAAATTAAAACCAAAACTTCAACAGTGCATTTATAAGAGTATACTTTTGATATTCGCTACAAACGCCTTCCGCTACAGTTAATCAACATGTGCACTGAAATTAAATTCAGACAACCACCATAACGGATGAAACGTTTGGGTTGCATACTATTTTGAAACAAAATATTCATGTACTATCAGTCACTTCATAGAATCAAAGTCACCCCATTCGACGGTACCTTAGGGCAAAATAAACACAATATTGAATGAAAGTACATAAAATAGCTTTAATTCGAGCTGTCATACATAAAATTTGGCCCAATAGTTTACGCAAAATTAACGATTGAATATCTAAAAATGTGAATTTTTGGCCATTCATAATTTTTGAAGCAACTTTAAAAAACAAATTTATGCAAAAAAAAATTTATTGTAGTTATTTCTAAGATACATTTTATTCTCTATAAAATTTCTTAAATTTTTATAAATTTTAGTTTTGATGTAGTTTTAAGAAACTTTGAAAAATACTTTAATATTAAGTAATTTTGAGTATTTTTTTGGGAGAGTTCTAAATATGATTACGTAACACAAAATTGTGTAGTCAAAATTATTTAAGTAGGTCACATTCTTAGCACCTTCAACTGTTGTCACGTTTTGTTTTAAAATTTCTTATTCGCGAGTCGCTAAAAATATTACTCCGTATTTTATATTCTACAGGTGCTATCAAACCAAAATAATAATTTATTGGTTATATTAATATATTTAATTGTGAACAAAATATCAAGTGTGCACATAGTGTGCATTATCATTTAATAATAGCGTATAATAAATATCAATCAATTATTTTATATGTAGAAGCACTGAAAACTATCTATAAATGGCCACGGTTGTTTACATTTCTCTGTCTTATGGACCTACGTCAAACTTCAAATGCTGTTCCATGTTTGTTTACTTTTACAGTAGATGAGGAAAAGGTGTTTTTCAATACTTTGGCTGTATTTTGAGTGATATTTGTGAAAAGTGAAATTAAATAAACGAAAAATTTACATCCCGCTCTCTCATTTCATTTGTAAGTACATACAATTTACATTATTTAAGATGAGGAAATAAGGAAGCGTGTTTGTTTACATTTTAATAGGCGTACCATTGGGTTTATTCATGTTCATTATTATATTGAATAAGATATGAGTTCATGAAATTAGTAGACATTTATAAATTTTAAGTATACATCATCTGATTAAAAAAGATCTGTTTAGTACCTTTTTAATTTAATATTTCTCATGGATACAAATAAATTGGTGAAATGAATAAAACTCATTTATTTTTCTATAGGTTTCCAAATAATATTGACGACCGAACTATTTGGGTAGCAAATTTAGGAGAAAACATAAAGATTTTTTATTGTAGCATTATTTTGATACCTATTAAAAAATTAATTGAATTCAACTATATTTAATTGTATTAATTTTAAAGCAAATAAAATTGTATTTTAATTTTTCTATAAAGACGTGATTTGTTAATAATTAAACTCTCGTTTTTTTAATTCTTTGAACGTGTTTTTATACGTTATTCTACTTCCCATTTTTAAAATCTGAATAATTACCCGCGAGTAAAAATTCAAGCACGCTTACGCTCATTGCGGAAGCATCACATTCTATTAAAGCTGCAAAACATTGTGTGTTAAAGGTATCTTATTGCTGTGTCCATCTATGTTTATACGTCCATGACGTATTATGACTTTGACAGTTATTTTGCTATTTTTTTATCCTAACAAATTCTGTATAGCGTTTTATTGCAATTAATAAAAATAAAGAAAACAGTCTAAACAATAATTTGCAAATGTTTAAATGAAAA